TTAGATGGCACTCAGGTCTGGCAGCTGCTGGCCTCATTTTCCCAGGGCTGGTCCCAAGGGCATGGTCATCTGGCTCTGCACTCCCACACGTAGTTCCCGGCACACCAGCTCTCCCACCCAAGGAAGTATGTTGGAAAGCAAGATTTTTAAAGTGATCTTTTTATATGGAAACCATTAAGTCTGATCTTTTCCTTTTTAAGTGCCTCACCCTCCCACTGCAGTGCTTTATTAATAATAACAAATTCTAGTGACAGGCCTCCCGAAAGATCAAGACAGCCCGATGTGTCACACACAGACACTGGGAACTGCAGCGTTAGATACTCGTCCTTCTCGGGGCTTCATCCTGGGGCTTTTCGTCCACAGTCTCTCTCTCTCTCTCTCTCTCTCTCTCTCTCTCTCTCTCTCTCTCAGCTTGTGGTGCTGTAAATTTGCTATTTGATGCTATTCTGAGTAAAGAAAAATTAAAATTGTAATTTATTAGCATGAATTTTACCGTCGATATCTCTATACTGTGCAATGCCAGTTTCCCATGTAAGTATACGAGCAGTTAAGTGCTGTGCAGAATCTCTGAACATCACAGAAATTGCGTTTTGTAGCTCACATATGCATATGTATTTAGTCCTTTACCAGATCAGTGTAAATGCCATGCAAACCAAACTCAACTATTTTTACTTCACTTCTTGATATGTACACACTCTCTACTAACACTCTCTCCCTTTGGCTGACAGATAGAAAAGACAGTCCAAACAGAAAAGGAGCTGAGGGGTGTCTTATCTTTCCTCCTCCTGCCTGCCGTCATTGTCAGCATACATTGTTGGCTACTACCGAGAAGTAACAGGAGTGGAAAGGACAGGACAGGGCTCTTTGGTTGGTCGTGTTTCTTAAAATACCCTGCCTTCTTTCTGTGGCCTAAACAATTTTGGTTCAAGCAGAAGGGATGGCCTGTCTGGGCTGTCAGCTCTCCGCTCACTGGGTCCTCAGTGCCACAGGCTTACCGTGTTATCCCTGAGTCCTGCGGAACTCCCATGCATCTGTTCCACCCGGTGCTGCGCTCAGGGGGCAACCTGGATGCTATACCTGAATGGGGCAGCAAGGACAATGAACGGGCACATTGCTCCCATCTCTCTGCTCCCAACATGCTCCATCGTCCATCCAACTTCATTTACAGAACGAAAGTTCAAAGATAAAATTATTAAGGATTTCAAGATGGTGACAGAAGAAATTTAAACCAAACTCAGGACCCGCTTGAGCCCGGGCCCTGCGTGGTTCTCTGGTCACATTCCCAATGTAGCCGGCCCTTCCCATTGCCTCTACGCCTGCCACTCTGGCCCTGATGTTCCTTCAGGGCCTGCTGTGTTCCTTCCTGCTGAGGCCCTATGGGGTGCTGGCCCCACCGCCTGACACCCACTTCCCTTCCTCGTGGCCAGGCTGTGCTCCTCTGTCTCTTTCTGTGGTCTCAGCTCAGCGTCACATCCTTAGGTCACATCCTTAGGTTAGCCCTGCCTGCCGACAGGGCAGGACTCTCCTAGCACCACCCACCTACCACAGTCGCCACTCTTCACTTAGGTATGTGATTCTCTGGGGGCTCGTTTCCCTCCCCTACAGGACCGCCAGCAGCTTGTAGGCCAGGGCTGGGCTGGTTTTCTTCATCACTGTTTCACCAGTGCTGGGCACATAGTCCCTAATAAATATTTACGAGGTGACTGAATGGATGAATAAATGAACAAAAGTCTTTGCAGCAGGAACCTGGGTGTCAGATGAAGAGGTGGGATAAATGAGGGTGACATGAATTCCAGGTTTTGTTCCAAGGGGGACTAAATCCTGTCTCTGTATGAGCCGGTGAAAACTAGGTGAGCATTGCGTTGCCCTGGTCGACTGTCTCTTCCACTAAGTGATGAGTGCTTAGGAGTGTCCTTATGTTTTCAGGTGTTTGAATCATTTTCTTTGTGTCTCCAGGCCCAGCATCGTGCCTGGCACTTCGCTCTCAGACACTGCAGGGTGTATCGAATTGAATTGAGCTGAATTGAGTGAGATGAAAATATGTCGCCCCGAGGTTTACTTCATCTCACCCTCCCCTGTTCCTCCTCTTCCCCCTCCTCTTTCTCCTTTTCCTCCTTCCTCTCCTTTCCTCTGGTGAAGGATTTCTGAGTCTTGAGAACTACTTTAATTGCAATCAAGTGTTTCCAACAGAAAATTGCCCTCTTTTATTTTTGGTTTAACTGGTCTCTTCAAAGAGAAATGGTCTGATTAGTCTTATAATCGTGGCAGTGGTTGGGCACTTCAGATAATGTCCGAGAACCAGTTCAGACATTTTCGGTAGTAATATTCCTCTATTGGCATTGATCTTCGGATAGAATCACAAGGCAGGCACTTTAGAAGTTCATCCAGTTAAGCCCCAGATAATTCCGAGCAGAAATAGCTGGAGGATGGGATGAAACCTGTCCTCCCGCCCCGAGGGCTGCAGAGCAGCTCTGTCGGAGAGGCAGCAAGGAGCTGCTGATGATCCCGAGAACACTGCCTCCTTGTTAGAGCCTGGCCCACATCTGTCTCTCCTGTCCATTACTCCACAACTCCATTTGAGAAATGGCCAGGAGGGGATGTAGTGAAAATGGAGTGTTCGTAATGAAATTGAGGATCAATGAAATCATAAAAAATCAAAAGCCTAAAGGTAAGTTTGTTATCGATTGGCCATCTCAAAAAATATAGTTAGTGAGAGATCAGGGCATGCTTCCTACATGTAAAACGGGGGATTTCTCCCTGAGTGCGGCTTGAATGGGGATATAGAATGGGACGGGAAGCGGTCCCCACAGCGGTCCCTCAAAGGTTATGGGGCTGGCCAGGCCAAGTGGCTCAGTTGGTGGGGGCGTCGTCCTGTACACCAAAAGGTTGCCGGTTCGATTCCCAGTCAGGACACAGACCTCGTTTGTGAGCTTGATATTTGGTCCGGGAGCTTTTGGGAGGCAACCAATTGAAGTTTCTCTCTTTCGTCGATGTTTCTCTCTCTCCTCCTCTCTCCCTTTCTCTCTCTCTAAAATCAATAAAAACATATCCTTGGGTGAGGATTAAAAATAAAAGTTACAGGGCTGCTTGGAGAGGGTGCAGTGAAATAGACAGGGCATGGACTTAGAAGTCAGCCACATCTGGGTTTTAGACCAACTTTAGCTCTGTGACCTTGACCAAGTAACGACCTACCTCTCTGATCTGTTTTCTTTTTTTAATTTGTACAAACTGGTATAAAACCTCTGCCTTGCAGGTTTGTTAGGAAGATTGAATGAGGTCACCTGAGTGGGGGTAGGTACAAAGCTCAGTACCTGGCACAGAGCAGGCAAGCAGTCATGTTATCCCTTCTTCTCACAGTGTCACTTTGCAGCAGCGGGGCAGGTGCCTGGTCACCTTGAGGTTAGGGCCCCCCCAAACTGTGCACCCTAGGTGCCTCACTGGGGTTCCAGCAGTGCAGCTGGGGCAATGTCAGACCAGGGTTGGGGTATCTCAGGGTAGGTGCCCTCCTCCCAACACTATCTCCTGGATCATTTTACAAGTGACGTAATTGAGAGCCAGAGAAGCAATATAATTCGACTAAATCTTGGAGTAAGTGGCAAGCCTGGAATGTGAATCCAGACCTCCAGACCAAGCCTGCATTTCACTCCTTGCTGCCCAGGCCACGTGACACTCACACACCCCTTTGCACTCTGAACGGCCTTTCTGGACACCTAGACATTGTCTCCCCAACAAGTCTGTAAACTCCCTCAAGACAGAAGGGAATGTGTTTCAAATTTTCAGCACCTCCCAAGGCACACAGTACAGGGCTTACTTGCAGTCAGGTTGCAAGAAACAAATATCCACCCTATTGAGACAAGGAAGGTATTTTCATGGCCTTATCATTTTAATGCAGAGAAATAGTTATAATACACATTAACCCAGCTGAGGGGGAGAAATGCATTAATTTCACAACATGTTCAACCCTTTAAGAAGTTAGCTTCTCGAGCTCCACAGGGATTCTAGAACTCACACAGGCTCACCCCCACTGTTTTGAAATAAAATTGCAACTCAGAGTGGAGTCCCTCTCCCCACAGGGAAGCGGTGGGT